AAAGACACAGAAAGTACTAATTAGGACAATTATTTTACTGCAACAAACTTCAATACAATATTTAATTATATGTGGCACAGTAATAACCTTAATTTAGGAAGGAAAAAGGGAAACCCTGTCAGCCACAGAAGCCAGGAGAACACTGCCTTGTTACCAGCAAGAATTGCTTGTATAACTACGTGGGGCAAAGAACCCACAACACAATGAACATACAAGAGTAAACGAAAAAGCCGGGCTCCGTGGCTCAGCCTGTAATCCTGCGCCTTTGGGAGGCTGAGGTGAGTGGATTGCCTGAGCCCGTGGGTTCGAGACCCGCCTGGGCAGCGAGACCTCATCTCTACAATAAATAAAAAAAAAATTAGCCGGGCGTGGTAGCGCGCACTTGTAATTCTGGCTACTCGGAAGGCTGAGGAGAAAGGATCGCCGGAGTCCAGCAGGTCGAGGCTGCGGTGGCTGGGAGCGGCCACTGCACTCCAGTCTGGGCGACAGAGTGAGACTCCAACTCAAAAAAAAAAAAAAAAAAAATCAGCCGGGCATGGTAGCGCATGCCTGTAATTCTGGCTACTTGGAAGGCTGAGGCGGAAGGATCGCCCGGAGCCCAGCAGGTTGAAACTGCGGTGGCTGGGAGCGGCCACTGCACTGCAGTCTGGGCGACAGAGTGAGACTCCAACTCAAAAACAAACAAACAAACAAAAAAAGAGTAAACGAATGGATTGCCTGAGACTGTAGGTTTGAGATCAGCCCAGGCAACTTGGTGAAACCGCGTCTCTACAATAAATCAAAACTTAGCTGGGCATGGTAGTGCACGCTATAGTTCCGGTTACTTGGAAGGCTGAGGTGAACGATCACCGGAGCCCAGCAAGCTGAGGCTGAAGTGGCTGAGAGGTGTGCCACTGAAACACAAAAAAGTCAAGCTCAGTAGCTCAGCCTGTAATCCCAGCGATTTGGGAGGCTGAGGTGAGTGGACTGCCTTAGCCTGCGGGTTTGAGAACCACCTGGGCAACTTGGCGAGACCTCATCTCGACAATAAATCAAAAATTAGCCGGGTGTGGTAGCGCGCGCCTGTAGTTTCAGCTACTTGGAAGGTTGAGACAGAAGGATCGCCGGAGTCCAGCAGGTCGAGGCTGCAGTTGCCAGGAGCGGCCACTGCACTCCAGTCTGGGTGACAGAGTGAGACTCTCACTCAAAAAAAAAAAGAGAGTAAACGAATGAATGCTGTGTGTGTGTGTGTGTGTGTACAGTGTTCTACCTGAGCAGGGGAGGTGATTACAGACAGGCAAAGATATGAATAAAAACCAACATTTTAAAAGCATTTACTATGGGTTAAGCTTCCTTCAATAATTCTATGGTAACAAACATGAAATATTATTATTAGCTTCATATTAGAAATTAGATTTAAGCCGGGCTCAGTGGCTCAGCCTGTAATCTCACGCCTTTGGGAGGCTGAGGTGAGTGGAATGCCAAAGCCCGCGGGTTCGAGACCCGCCTGGACAGCGAGACCTCATCTCTACAACAAATCAAAAAATCAGCCGGGCGTGGTAGCACATGCCTGCAATTCTGGCTACTTGGAAGGCTGGGGTGGAAGGATCGCCAGAGCCCAGCAGGTCAAGGCTGCGGTGGCCAGAAGCGGCCACTGCACTCCAGTCTGGGCGACAGAGTGAGACTCCAACTCAAAAAAAAAAAAAAAAAAAAAGAAAGAAAGAAATTAGATTTAAAGAGCGAGATACAGGCCAGGTATGGTGGCTCATGCCTGTAATTCCAGCACTTAGGGAAGTAGAGGAGGGATAATTAATTTAAGCCCAGGAGTTAAGACCTGCCTGGGAAACAAAGTAAGACCTCGCCTCTACAACAAATCAAAAAATTAGCCAAGTATGGGGACATATACCTATAGTCCCAGCTACTTGGTAGGCTGAGGTGGAAGGATCGCCTGAACCCAGGAGATCAAGGATGCAGTGAGCTGGGATTGTGCCACTGCACTCCAGCCTCTGCAACAAAATGAGACCCCGACTCAAAAAAAAAAAAAAAAAAAAAATTAAAGTTAAAATTAAATAAAACGGCCGGGCTCGGTGGCTCAGCCTGTAATCCCGCGCCTTTGGGAGGCTGAGGTGAGTGGATTTCCTGAGCCCGCGGGTACGAGACCCGCCTGAGCGGCGAGACCTCATCTCTACAATAAATCAAAAAATCAGCCGGGCGTGGTAGCGCATGCCTGTAATTCCGGCTACTGGGAAGGCTGAGGCGGAAGGATCGCCGGAGCCCAGCAGGTCGAGGCTGCGGTGGCCGGGAGCGGCCACTGCACTCCAGTCTGGGCGACAGAGTGAGACTCCAACTCCAAAAAAAAATAAAAAAAAAAAAAAATAAATAAAATGGAAGGCAAGATACGCAAAATAACTTTCGCCAAGTCAAAGAGCTACAAATAAATAAGGTCAGCCTGCTTAACAAACATCCACTTCTTCCACTACACTGACATATGGCAGAATCACTCATGGGTAGTGGGTGTTTGTTCTACTTTGCTTGAGTGGTAAATTTACCTTAAGATACATTTTTAAAGCCTATATCATCAAATAAAAGATGAGCAGAAGTTCCTATTACAGTTGATGAATGCTAAAAGAATAACAAAATTTTTTTTTTTCGGTTGGAGTCTCACTCTGTCGCCCACGCTGGAGTGTAGTGGCACACTCACAGCCACCGCAGCCTTGACCTGCTGGGTTCAGGTGATCCTTCCACCTCAGCCTTCCAACCAGCTAGAACTACAGAAAAATGGCACCACACCGGCTAATTCTTCTTGATTTATTGTAGAGATGAGGTCTCAACAAGTTGCCAAGGCTGGTCTCGAGTCCCTGGGCTCAGGCAATCCAATAGTCTCAGCCTCCCAAAGTGCTGGGATTACAGGCTTCAGCCAACACATCTGGCCAAGAATGACAAAATTAAAATGTCACTAGGTATCAATCATAGTTAGCCTCCCAAGAAGATGAAAAAGCTGTTGATGAATACATACAAAACCACCTATAAAGAAGTCTTATCACTAAAAACACTAAAAAATAAAAATCAAGCCAGGTGTGGTGGCTCACACCTGTACTCGCTGCACTCTGGGACTACAGAGCAAGAGGACTGCCTGAGTCCAGAGGTTCGAGATCAGCCTAGTCAACATAGAAAGACCTTGTATCTACAAAACAATTAAAAAGTTAGTTTGGTGGAGAGTGCATGCAGTCCCAGTTTCTTGAGAGGCTGAGGCTAGAGGTTCACCTGAGGCAAGGAGGTCAAGGCTGTGGTGAGCCATAATCATGCTACTGTACTCCAGCCTAAGTGACACAATAGAACCCAGATTCAAAATAAATAAATAAATAAAATAGTAAAAGTGATTAAATTATGAGAAAATTAGAAATTCAAACAATGACCATTTTGGGGGTTAGTGTTAAAAGAAACTTTCAGTCATTTTTTAGGTGTGATAAGGGTATGTTGGTGATTTTATTTTTAAAGAGTCCTCAACTGGGCAGAGTGGTTCATGCCTGTAATCCCAGTATGCTGGGAGGCTGACGTGGATGGATCACTTGAGCCCAGGAGTTCAAGATCAGCCTGGGTAACATAGCAAGACCTTGTATACATTAAAAAAAAAAAAGTCCTAGCCGGGCTCAGTGGCTCAGCCTGTAATCCCGCGCCTTTGGGAGGCTGAGGTGAGTGGATTGCCTGAGCCCATGGGTTCGAGACCTGCCTGGGCAGCGAGACCTCATCTCTACAATAAATCAAAAAAT